GATCATCCTCACATCACAGCATCATCACATCATCATCAATCATCATCATCATCATCATCATCATCATACATCATCATCCATCATCATCTCACATCATCATCATCTCATCATCCTCATCATCATCATAATCATCATCCTCATCATCATCATCAGCCTCATCATCATCATCATCATCATCATCATCATCTCATCTCAGTCAGCATCATCATCATCAGCATCATCATCATCATCATTCATCATCATCATCATCATTCATCATCATCATCATCATCATCATCATCCTCATCATCATCATCATCATCATCATCATCATCATCATCATCATCATCATCATCATCATCATCATCATCATCATCATCATCATCATCATCATCATCATCATCATCATAATGATCAGCATCATCATCATCATCAGCATCATCATCATCATCATCATAATCATCAGCACCATCATCATCATCATCATCAGCATCAGCATCAGCATCAGCATCATCATCATCATCATCATCATCATCATCATCGTAATCATCATCATCATCGTCATCATCAGCATGAAGCATCAGCATCATCATCAGCATCATCATGATAATCATAATCATAATCAGCATCATCATCAGCAGCAGCATCAGCATCAGCATCAGCATCATCATCAGCATCATCATCATCATCATCAGCAGCATCATCATCCTCATCATCATTATCATAGCATCATCATCATCATCACCATCATCATCATCATCATCATCAACACTATCATCACCGTCATCGTCATCAGCATCATCAGCATCATCAGCATCATCATCAGCATCTTCATCATCAGCATCATCATCATATTCATCAGCATCATCTTCATCAGCATGATCAACATCATCAGCATCATCAGCATCAGCATCATCATCATTATCGTCATCATAATCAATTATCATCATCATCAGCATCATCATCGTAATCAGCATCATCATAGTATTATTTATCTGTATGAGCAGCAGCAAAAGCAAAATACTCATCATCAGCATCACCATCATCATCATAATCAGCATCGTCATCATCAGCATCAGCATCATCATGAGCATCATCATCACCGTCATCGTCGGCGTCAGCATCATCATCATCATCATCATCATCATCATCATCATCATCAACATCGTCAGCATCATCAACATCACCATCAACATCATCATCAAAATCAGCATCATCATCATCTTCGTCATATCTATCATCATCCGAATCATCCGCAGCATCAACCTCATCCTCATTATCATTACAAGCAACAGCATCCTTAGCATCATCAGCAGCAGCATCAGTATCATCAGCAGCAGCATTATCGTCATCGTGATCATCATCATCAGCAGCATCATCATCAGCAGCAGCGGCAGCAGCAGCATCATCATCATCATCATGTTCCTCGTGCCGCCTTCCTCCTCCCTCCCTCCTCCTCCTCCTCCTCCTCCTCCTCCTCCTCCTCCACCTCCTCCTCCTCCTCCTCCTCCTCCTCCTCCTCCTCCTTTTCCCTTTCCTCCTCCTCCTCCTCCTCCTCCTCCTCCTCCTCCTCCTCCCCCCTCCCCTTCCTCCTCCTCTCCTCCTCCTCCTCCTCCTGCTCCTCCTCCTCCTCCCTCCTCCTCCTGCCCTCCCTCCTCCTGTCCTCCTCCTCCTCCCTCCTCCTCCTCCTCCTCCTGCTCCTCCTCCTCCTCCTCCTCGTCCTCCTCCTCCTCTTCCTCCTCCTCCTCCCCCTCCTCTTCTTAGCCCTCCTCCTCCTCCTTCTCACTGTTTCCTCCTCCTCGCTTGCCTCCTACTACCCCCAAGATGGTCACAGGAGGTCGAGCATGACTCAAGATAGCCTCCGAGGAACCCTCAAGATGCCTCAGGACAATCTCAAGATGGTTCAAGATAGCCTCCGACAGCCTCCAGCCGAACACTGCTCAAAAATAGCCTCCAAAAGGCCTAAAGGAAGCCTCCGATCGTGCCTGGATGGACTGGTGGGGATTTCTCTTCCGTCGCAGCCGCAAGCGAAGGAGCAGGCGGCGTCAGAGGTCAACCAGGGCTACGGGCGAAGCCTAATTACCCAGCAAGCGCACACACGGCTGCCGAGGCTACCGCCGAGGGAGGCTGACGGGCGCCGGGGGTTGAAGGCAGGCTGCGAAAGCTGCCAGGAGACCCAGGCGGCCAGCGCGCGGGCATCCCAGAGGCGAGACCAACGGGAAGAGGACGAATTGAACCTTGTCGCACCAGGCGCCAAGAGGTAGACGAGCCACCGAACGTGGCGAAGCGCTGGTGGGGATTTTTTTTGGTCGCGGCCGCAAGCGAAGGCGCCGGCGGCGTCAGAAGTCTTCCGGGGCTACGGGCGAAACTTGATTATCTACGAACGAACCTAATTGCCGGCGCGCGCACAGAGGAAAGCAAGCCTACCGCTGGCGGAAGCCGCTGCGCCGTCTGGCGGGGATACTTTTTTGGTCGCGGGCGGACGCGGAAACGCAGTCGCCGAAGGAGAGGTCCGGGCCACGGGCCTGCCAAATTGGCTACGCGCGAGCCTAGAGCGAAGCGGCTGGGCCCGCACTCAGAAGCAGCCGCAGGTGGGGCTGCAGCTGAAGGGAAGCTGGCTGAGCTGCCTGCAGAAGGCCAGGGTAGCAGATGCAACATGCGGGAGAATGGCTTCAAAACGCCAGAACTCTGGCGGGGATATTTTTTTTGGTCGCGGTTCCAAGGAAAAGCCCAGGGAGCGGTCACAACGTCCGGGGCGCGGTACATTGTAAATTTGCGAATCCAGCCGTCACTGTCGACAGCCGACCGCACCTGCAAGCATGCTCGCAGTTGCACATGCACAATACAAAATGAACTAAATTCGCAGACGGCGCACATAGGCGCAGCAGCGAACCGTGAGGCGCGAGCTACAAGTGCGAAGACAGCTGAGTGAGTCGCCATACCGGCGCCAAACTCGGGCTAAACGTGCGGAGTGAGCGAGCGACCAGCACGCACTAGGCTGAACCATGTACAACGGTGAGGCAAAGGAGGCCTATCGCACCGAACTCACTGACGCCACGAGGTGGGTGGACCACGTAAAAGCCTTCAGAAGAAGAAACTCTCATGTGCACTGACGAAGTACCACCTGCAGCTGAAGCCAATGCGCGCACACCGTATCCGACACACGCAGCTCGGGGGTATAACGATGTGAAAACTGACAAGAGCTGTGCAGACTGCTCTGCAAAAAGGAACGACTGCAACAGCGGGAGGCTGAACCACTCACTGCAAGGCCGCTCCCAGGGCGAGGCCAGGCATCATGCGTTGCCCTGTGTATGGCTGCCAGCAGCGCCCAGCCTCTGCATGCCGGAGCCAGCGTGCTTCCTCGCCGACACAGGCCGGAACAACGAAACAAAGTGCCGGCGAGCTGATGTCCAGGGCTGCGGTGAAGAAGCGACCAAAGTAGCAGGCCCAACCAACCACTGCGGCGTAACCCTCACCCAATGAGGTGGCTGAACTGAGCGCCAACCGGCGGTGTAGACCACAGGTGCGCGTACGGGTGAGCCATCTCCAGCCAGTAGCCAGTGTAACACATCGTATCCGACTCACGCGGTTCGGGGGCACAACGATGCGAGTGCTGGCGAAGTGGTGGCCTGGGCTGCAAGTCTGCGTCAAGCCGTGCAACACGACCATGACCGCGGAAGGCTGAACCACTCGCTGCGGGCCCGCTAGCTAGACATAGCCAAAGCCACAGCCACCGCCGCACCCCCCACCGAGTCACCAGAGCGGCGGCCAGATGACAGCGCTGTCAGGGCAGAACGGTGGCATCTAGCGGTCAAGCTGCGGGTGAGCTGGCTGCCGGTAGCGCGCTATCGATCCAACGTCCTCTTGGGAAGAACGGTGGTGGGCCGGCGACGAGGGTCGGGCGCTCATCATGGCCGTAGCATGCTTACCGGCTGAATGGCGGGGATACGTCAAGCGTCAAGAATCCCGCCAGCCCTCTGGGCGCAGGCGGTCTAACGATATCTTTCTTTCCTCTTCGAAAAACCCTTCTTCCCTTTACCCCTTCCCTACCCCTCCCCTGGACCTGGACAAGGGGTTTCGCGAGCGGTCAGGGCATCCAAGATAGCCTGAGATGGCTCCGAGAGGGCCTCAGAGGCCCAAGATGGCCTCCAAGATCGCCCAAGATAACCCAACATGGCTCAAGATAGCTAACAACATGCCTCCAAGAGGCCCCAAGAGGGCCACAAGACGGTTCCAGGTGTTTGTGGCGACCCCTCAAGACCCCCCCGAGAAGCCAAAACCCTTCGAGAGCCCCAGGAAAATCACTGATGTGTGCCTTCTCGCCTTTTCGCTTCCGATGCGCTTTTGAGGCCTCTAGATGGCCCTAAGGTGGCCCTAAGATGGCACAAGAGAGCTCCAAGAAGGGCCCAAGAGGCCCCCAAGACTGCCCCAAGAGCGCCTAAGACAAGATCGCCCCAAAAGGGCCCCAAGAGCGCCCCGAGAAGATATTTTCATGGCCCCGGAGGGGGGATGGAAATCGAGGACCCCCCCCCTTTGCTCGATGGCCTCCAAGATGGCCCCAGGAGGCGCTCCATAGCTCCCGAGCGGGCCCCAAGAGAGCCCCAAGAGAGCCCCAAGAGCACCCCATGAGGATCCCGAGGCGCCCCAAAAGAGCCCCAAGAGGTCCAAGACCCCCCCAAGAGCACCAACAAGGCCCCAAGATGCCCCAAAAGAGCTCCAAGAGGACCCCAATATCCCCCAATACAGCCCCGTAGCTCCAAGATAGCCTCCAAGATGGCTCAACACACTCCTTCCTCTCCTCTCCTTGCACGCTCTGTTTCACTATGTGTGCCTCTTCGTCCCTTTTCCCGTCAGCTCTCATGGGCAGGGCTTCTGAATGGGCTGGTGGGGATTCGCGAAGTGCAAACACTTGAACACTGACAGCTGGATAGCAACGCTGCGTCAATGATGGTATACATAGATTGAATGCGCAGGATGTGCAGAGCAGTGGTGAAGACTGAAATGCCAGCAAGCATGAGGTCCCCCATTGTTCGATACACGTTCAGCACAATGCACTGGACTAGCACGAGGTCCTCGGGAGGATGTGTAACGCACCATCGAAGAATGGATCAAACTCTGGCGGTGGCGATCAATACGCAGTGCCACCAAACACGCCACGAACTGTCACGTCTTCATGAGCCATCCTGCGTACGCGAAGCACACGCATTCTCACTCACAGAGGTATGAACAGCGACAATTGAGAGGCAAACCCGCGACAGATACGCCAAGAAGGCACAGCACACCACGCGCTTGCATCGCCTGCGCCGTCGCTCATGTCTGTCCGCCTACACGTCGGTCGGAAGAAGTACGAAAAACATGAAGTAGGAAGGCGGATAAAGTAGACAAAGGTCAGGCCCTGCAAGAGAATAGCAAAGCACTTCAAAAGCAAATCGATTCTTGAAGTAGGAGGGCGCTCGAAAAAAAATAGGATCTGGGAATCCAAGAGCAACTGCTTACAACGACGGGCGTGCACTCGGCGCACAGAGAGCGATGAGGAGCAAAGGCGAGCAACGCAGGAAAAAAATGGGCGGGGACACGGTCCGTCCATCGAAGCCACTGTTCCTCCACGGTGCCAACCCTTTCCTCGGGCCACATGATGCCTGGCATTGGCTTCGGCACAGCAACGACGAAGAGGGTTAATTACCGGCGGCGAAGGAAGAGGGGGAAGTGAGAAGGTCTTCTCAGGAGGCGGCGGGGCTTCTCAGAAGCCCTTGAAAGGTTTTCCGCATCTTCCAGGAAGGCTTAGAAAATTTCTCAGAAGGCCAAGGGACTTCCGAGCCTTCTGAGAAGGCCCGCCCCTCCTCACATTCCCCCCCCCAGGCTCGCCGCCGAAATGAGGCAGGAAGAACAGAAGAGAAGAGAGGAAGAGGCGGAGCGATTGAACATGCGCCAGTCGCACTGCAGGTGCCCCAACAAAAATCGAGAGGACGAGATCGAGAGAAAGATGTGAGAACAAAGATCTTGAGTTCTGTGATATTTCACGTGGGCCCAGGAGTTCCCGACCCCAACGCTGGCCCGCACCAGACGGCTTCTATAGGCATCCCTGGACCCACCACCTTCGGAGAGAGCCCTTGGGTGGCCATACGACAGCCAGAGACCCACCTTAGCGTCGATTAGCGTCTGGAGGTCGATGAGGCAGCGCCAATTCAGCGTCGGCTAGCGTCGATGAGCGTCGATTTAACGAAGCAGCCCGGGACAGTCCTGCGAAGGCAGAAGTCCCCGGGGCCCCAAGACCTAGGTCGGGCGTGTCCCCCTAAAGGCGGATGGTGGGGGAAAAATGAAAATGAGTCACAAACTATTCGAAAATAACAAGCAATAGTCGAAAAAGATTCCCCTGACTATTGTCTTACCAGTTTTGGAGCATTCCCCCTGTAGAGGGACACGCCCGACTTAACCCAAGACCCCCCAGGATGCCCCAGGACGTCCGAGGGTGGCCCCGAGATCGCAGAGAGGGCCCCCCCACCCCCCCGGGAGCCGCCTGTGAAGGCCCCACGACGCCAGCTGCCAAGGCCACCCAGCGACCCGCCGGAAGACCCCACGACGGCCCCGGGAAGCCTCGGAGATGCCACACCACTGAGCATCGTTGAACCGACCCCCATCCCCACCAGCGCTGGCTGGGCCCCACTGCTCGATCTACCCCCCTGCATGGGGATACAGGCCGCTCCCCTCGGGTTCCGAAGGGCGTATCCCCAGCTGGGGTGGTGAGACGGTGGGGCTCGAGATGTGGATGGGGATGGGGATAGGGATCGGTTAAACGATGCTGAAACACCACCGTGCACACGCAACGGCTTTGCTGCCTTGCCAGGCGACACCCTCCCATGGAGGATTCCTCGGACCCACTGGCGCCTGCCAGGACGGGGAGAGACGACGGGCGGCGACATGCTCAAAAATGAGAGGCGCGCCGACGAAGCATGGACAGGGATACGGAAAGCGCAGCATACAAGCCTCAGGTCGGGCATGTCCCCCTACAGGCAGATGTTGAAGAACAAGTTTAAAAATACCCGAAGAATACCCCACAGTGATCGATGAATAATCCAAAAATCGTCCCCAGACTACTTCTTGATTACTTTTGAGTCTTCCCCCTTAGGGATACGCCCGACTTGATACAAGCCTCGTGTGTGCACGAGTCCAGGGAGGAAGCCGCCGGCCGCCCCAGGCACACGAAGCCACAGGCGCTGGTACAGACGGAAGGGCGGCAGAGCGTCGCACCAAGAGAACGAGCATGCGAAGGGGGCAAGGAGGAGGAGGAGGAGGAGGAGGAGGGAGCAGGAGGAGGAGGAGGAGCAGGAGCAAGAGGAGGAGGAGCAGGAGCAGGAGCTGGAGGATCAGCATCAGCATCAGCACGAGTACCACAGGAGGGCGCCAACTGAACAGCTGCACCGGCCTCGGACAGGCCTATCCAGGGCTCTGGATCGGCGAATGCCCCGCTCCTGGGCTCAGGATCGGCCTTGCAAGGATCGGTGCAGGTGTAATTACAGTTGGTGCCATCCAAAACCAAAAACAGCAGCACGAAAATGAAGAGCAGGATATGGGTGACAGAAGAGGAAGGGGAACACTGGGGTCGAAAGAAGAAGAGCAAAACCCAGCAGACTATAGCGGCGAGGGCTCGGGCTGGCCTGTGGCCGAGGTCGCACTGGGAGACGGCACCGCTGCACCGACACCTGACAAAGAATGGGCCGGAGGACGACAACGTAAACGACGACGACGACGACGAAAACGACGACGACGACGACGACGACGACGACGACGACGACGACGACGACGGCGGCGGTGGCGGCGGCGGCGGCGGCGGCGGCAGCGGCGGCGATGACAACGAGATGTCAACCGTCAAATCCGCCGATCCAGCGCGTGTTTGAAAAAGCTACAGCCTGAGTTCCCTGAGATCCGACGTTGCAAAAAATTGCAACATCGCAGAAAATCACGACGAAACCCCTGGACCCCATCTTTCTGCGTCATTTTTCGAGCCGGATCGATCTGTGAGGGTCCCGGGGCCCGAAATGAAACGCCCGGCTCGAAAAAATTGAGTCGCCAGGATCTCAAGGTTTCAGCTCTGCCCAGGGGATTGCTGGGGTGGCTCTGCCGGGGAAAGCCGGGCCGGGGCCGGGATGGGGCTGGGGCAAGGGCCAGGGCCGGGGCTAGGGCCAGGGCCTGGGCCGGGGCATGAGCGGTGGCCCGGATCAGGGCCGGGGCCGGGGCCAGGGCCGGGGCCAGGGTCGGGGCCGTGGGCCGTATCCCGGGCCAGCTAGGGCCGGAGCTGGGGCAAGGGCTGGGGCCAGGGCCAGGGCTGGGGTTTGGGCCGGGGCCAGGGCCAGAGCCGGGGCCAGGGTTTGAGTCGTGGCCCGGGCCAGGGCCAGGGCTGCGGCAGGGACCGAACCGAGGCCTGGGCCAGGGCCAGGCCGGGGCCAGGGCTAGGGCCGGGGCTGGGGCCGGGGCCGGGTGCCACGGCCGAGGCCGGGGCCGGGCCCGAGGCCAGGGCCGGAGCCGGGGCCTTCAAGGCTGGGCCCGGGCCAGGGCTGGGTCCGAGGCCCTGTCTGGGGCCGGGGCCAGGACCAGGTCTGGAGCTGGGGCTCCCAAGACCAGCCCAAGACAACGACACAGGCCCCTAAGAAGAGGGCTCCAAGACGACCCAAGCACAACGCAAACATTCCATTCAACACATTCTGCCCAAGGCCAAGGCGACTGCCAACACCCTCCTCCTCCTCCTCCTCCTCCTCCTCCTCCGCCTCCTCCTCCTCCTCCTCCTCCTGCTCCCTCCTCATCCTCATACTCGAGGTAAGGCTCACAAACTATCAAACAGGACGAGTTCGCAAGGGGCGCCCCAGAGCGTCCCGTCCCGGACTGGCGGCACAGGCCAGAGGCCTCTAAAATGCAGGCGCATTGAAAAAAATATCCCAGTGCGACCCTACCTAGGAGTTGGAGCCTCTAGGAAAGCAACATTAGTAGGAACAGCAGCAATAGTGGATGCTGTGCTGCGCTATGCTATGCAATGATATGCTCTGCTATGCTCTGCTCTGCTCTGCTATGTTATGCTATGCTATGCTATGCTATGTTATGCTATGCTATGCTATGCTATGCTATGCTGCGCAATGCTATGCTGGGCTAGGCTAGGCTAGGCTAGGCTAGGCTAGGCTAGGCTATTATATGCTATGCTATGCCGCGCTATGCTATGCTGCGCTATGCTATGCTATGCTATGCTATGCTATGATATGATATGCTATGCTATGCTATGCTATGCTATGCTATGATATGCTATGCTATGCTATGCTATGCTATGCTATGCTATGTGTTTGATTTGCCTCCGCTTTTGCCTTCACTTTTGCCTCTGCTTTTGCTTTTGCTTGGCACCCAGGGAGCGCAACTGGGGGAACCGCACGTTTGCTTTTACCTTTGATGTTGCTTTTGCTTGGCTCCCAAGGGACCGAGGGAACCGCCCGGGGCGGGTTCCACTGCCCGGCCCCTTTAAGCAAAGAAAGTAAGAACCCTTCTAGGCAGAGCCTAGGTAGGGAAAAATCACTACTGGTGCGTCAGCCGTGCTCCCCAGAGATCCGACGCTCGAAAAAACTGGGAGCTGCGGGATTTGGGCAGCTTTCGGCCTCCAGGGGCCCTCGCCGGGCCTCGGGAGCGTCAAACAACGCCTCGGGACGAAAAGCCTGCCCTGGGGAAAGGGTCACGACCTCCGGGACCCGCGCCTCGAAAACATTGGAGCGGCCGGACGTCCAGGTTCGGGTCACGGGACCCTCGCCGATCGATCCGGCTCGGAACACGAAGAAGAAAGATCGGCTCCAAAGTCTGGCCGCGGCCGCTCACTGCACTCTGATTCCTGTCGTGGTCTCGGATCTTGGGGGCGACAGGGGGGGCTGAGTGGCAGAAGGCAAGCGCGCACGCTTCCGAGGGCTCGAAGTCGTGAGTTTTTCGCAGCGAAGCTCCCCAGAGGTCTGGACCTTGCCCGAGGGCCGGCTTTTCACCTCCTCCCGCTGTCCGATCCTCTCCGCCGAGGCCGTCATACCAGGTGACGGTATGAGGCCAGCGCGCGAGGAGCGAGAGTTTGAGTGTAGATGTATCGGGGATGGACGTGTCAGGGTGGGGGTTCTGTCCACCCCCGAAAGTAAAGGGAAGTGGAGGAGGGGAGAAGGGAGAAGGAGGCGGATCAGGAGGTCGGAGAGGGCTCTCAATGCATCGCACCAAACTGGGGGCGTGTCCCTTTCCCCCCTTGAAACTAATATTCTGCGTTATCCGCCCCCCCAAGCGTGATGGTCTTGAACACTTGGCACCCAACATGATGGCATGGGCATCTCTCTAGACTGTATACTACCAGCCAAGTGTTAGCTACGTCACGACACTGCGGAGACTACATCTTGTCCAGTTGAATGCCTAGGCAGCTAGAGATCGGAGAGATGGCGGTTGTCAAGCCTCAGTGATACAACTTGAGCCGCCCGGCGAAAGACCCAACCATATGCAGTTGTGGGTGCGTCGTTGTATGCACCGCATTCGGTGGAGGTCCCTATGGGCCCACGAAACGTATGAAGGGTATACCAAAATGGGTGCGGTGGGCATGCGAGCGCTGGCAACTGGGCCGTCGGTGGAGTTCCCGATGGGGCCACGAAACGTGTGAGGGATGTGCAGGATGGGCACGGTGGCCGCATGCGAACGCTGGCATCTGGGCCTTCGGTGGAGATCTTTATGGCGCCAAGAAGAGCGAGGGGGGCCAAAACGGGTGCGGTGGCCGCATGCGAATGCTGGCATCTGGGCTTTCGGTGGAGCTCCCTCTGGGGCCATGAAACGTGTGAAGGTACACCAAAATAGGTGCGGTGGCCGCATGCGAGCGATGGCATTTGGGCCTTCGGTGGAGCTCCCGGTGGAGACTCGAAACGAGTGAGGGGTGTGCCAAAATGGGCGCGGTGGCCGCATGCGAGCGCTGGCATTTGGGCCTAAATTGGTGCGGTGGCCGCATGCGAGCGCTGGCGACTGTGTTTTCGGTGGAGCTCCCTATGGGGCCACGAAACGTGTGTGGGATGAGCCAAAATGGGTGCGGTGGCCGCATGCGAGCGCTGGCAGTTGGGCCTTCGGTGGAGCTCCCTATGGGGCCACGAAACGTGTGAGGCGTGTGCCAACATGGGTGCGGTAAGCGCATGCGAGCGTTGGCATTAAGGTCATCAGTGGAACCCCTTATGGGGGCACGAAACGTGAGATGAGTATGCCAAAATGGGCGCGGTGGCCGCATGCGAGCGCTGGCATTTGGGCCTTTTGTGGAGTTCCCTATTGGTCCACGAAATGTGTGAGAGATGTGCCAAAATGGGCACGGTGACCGCATGCGAACGCTGGCATCTGGGCCTTCGTTGGAGACCCGTAAGGGACCACGAAACGTGTGAGGGGTGTGCCAAAATGGGCGCGGTGGCCGCATGCGAATGCTGACATCTAGGCCGTCGGTGGAGCTCTGTATGGGGCCACGAAACGCGTGCATGAAGGATGAGCCAAAATGGGTGCGTTGGCCGCATGCGAGCGCTGGCAGCTGGGCCTCCGGTGGAATTCCCCATTGGGCCACGAAAAGTGTGAGAGGGGTGCCAAAATGGGTGCGGTGCGTGCGGTGGCCGCATGCGGGCGCTGGCATTTTGGCCTGCGGTGGGGCTCCCTCGTGGACCGCGAAACGTATGAGGGGTGTGCCAAAATGGGCGCGGTGGCCGCATGCGAACGCTGGCATCTGGGCCCACGATGGAATTCTCCACGGGGCCACGGAACGTGTGAGAGGGGCGCCAAAATGGGTGCGGTGGCCGCATGCGAACGCTCGCATCTGGGCCGTCGGTGGAGCTCCCTTTGGGGCCACGAAACTTGTGAGGGGTGTGCCAAATTGCAAGGGGCGACGGGAGGCGGAGGAGGAGGAGGAGGAGGAGGAGGAGGAGGAGGAGGAGGAGGAGGAGGAGGAGAAGGGTCCAGTAACTGGATGTTCACATCCTCGCCGGCCGCCTGAAGCACCCTGTCGGTGCCCCGTCCTGGCGCATCCCGAAGAGGAGCGGGGCGGTAAGAGTCTGGGCGCCACGGCGGCACGGCCGCCGCGGCCGGCAGCCCCAGCTCGAGGCCCTCGGCCTCCGTCGGGCTGTCCACCAACGGGCCTGGCCGTCTCACAGCCTGCTCCCGCTCCCGCTGGAGGGCGGCATCCGAGCTGGCAGAGCCGTGCAGCTCGGCGAGACTTCCTGCACGCCCAGGGCAGGACAGCACCGGGCCGTGCTTCGCGCCAGCCCCGGCCCGGGTCTCCTGGCCACCGGCCTCGTCGCTCCCAGGTGTGGGCGTCCACGTCGCGAGGCAGGCGCCCTCGGGGTACTGGCCACCCAGGCAGGGCGCGCTCAGCCCCTCGCCTGGCCGCACGTGGCGCTGCGCGCTCGGCCCGCGGCGCTGGCAGAAGATCAGATCGGGTGCCGCCTGGCCCTGCTCGCCCACGACCGATGCCTGCACCATTGGACAAGCGCGCTGCACTGCTCGCCAGTCAACTGCTCGCAAATCGCCTGGATCCGCCGCGGGGGATCTGCGGCATCC